GAACACAACAGAGTCCCTGATGGACCAGCAGAAAGATGGGGTGCAGAACTCAAATTCTAGTAGAAAGACCAGACTTAATGGTCTGACTGAGACTGGAGGTACCCCGAAAAGCATGGCCCCTGTATTCTCTATCAGCCCAGAACTAAAACAGTTTCCAAGGCCAACTCTTCAGACAGGGATTGGACTAGACTGTGGGACATAAACTGATACTCGTGAGGAGTGTGCCTCTTAGCTCATGCAGATATAAGGTACCAAAGCGGCAGCTTCTGTCCAGAGGTGAGATGGGAAGGCAGAGAGAATTAGAAGCTCGTTGACGGGACACGGGGAATCAGGGACGGCAAGGTGGAGTGTGCAGTCGCAGAATGGGATGAGCAATTAGGGTCACATAACAATGTATGTATAAAATTTTGTATGGGAGACTAACTTGAAATGTAAACTTCATTTAGAGTACAACAATTAAAAAAAAAAGAGACAGTGGTGAAGGCAAGAGGACAGACAAACAGATCAACGGAAAAGAAGAGAGATCCTGAAACAGATTCATACAAATATGGTCAACCGATCTTTTTTAACTTCTTGTTTTGAAATAATTATGAATTCATAGGAGGAAATTGAAAATACTGTCCTTAGAGGTCCTGTGTACCTTTCACCCAGTTTCCTCAATTGTTACATCTTATATAATTAAAGCACAATATCAAAACCAGGAATCTGACACTGGTATAATGTGTGTGTATAATTCTATGCCATTTTCTCACATGTAGATTTGTGATACCACCACAAGAATCAAGATACCAACTATTCCGTCACCACAAGGATCTCTCTAGTCTTCCCCTTGAAAGTCACACCAATCCCCCTCTCCCACATCATTCCTAATCGCTAGCAACCACTAATCTTACTTTTTACAAAGGTGCAAAGGCAATTCAATACAGAAAAAAATTCATTTTCAACAAATAGCACTAGAACAAACAGATATCCACATGCAAAAAAGTGAACCTCAACCCATACTTCATATCTTTCATAAAAATTAACTCAAAGTGGAACACAAAACTAAAGCTTAAACATAAAACTTTTGGAAGAAAATATTTGTGACTTGGGATTTCGCAGAGTTCTGAGATATAACACCAAAAGCACAGCCCATGAAAGAAAACCACGGATGAACTGGACTTGATACAAATTAAAAACTTTTGTTGTGCAAGAAACACTGTTAAGAGAATGAAAAGACAATCCACAGTGAAAAATTATTTTCAAGCCACATTATCTGACAATGAACTTCCATTCAGAATATATAAAGAACTCTCAAAACTCCACAAGAAGGAGATAAAGTGATGCCAGTGAAAAGGGCAGAGCAGGTAGCTCCAAGGCCCCACTCTTCCACAGAAACACCAAACTAAGGAGCAAAAATGGTCAAAGTCAACTTTGTGGAACTCTAGAAAACAGGCGAAGGTTTACATGAACCAAATGAACGGGAATCAAGGAAAAAGTGACTTAAAATGGTATGAGAGCTTTGCAGCATTTTTACTTGCTCTTGTCCCACCCAATCCCCAACTGGGCAGCAATCTTGAAGACGGCAACACACTTTCCCAGTGTGGGACCCTGGTGCCAGGTTCCAGACAGAGCAACGCAGACCTTGTTCTCAAAAAATTCTGTTCGTCTGTTTTGGCCTGTCTGGGGGCTACCTGAAAGACTGATGTAAGGCACATGTCCTTGTTTCAACTAACTCAGAAATGACAAAGAAAAAAAAAAGGAGAAGATGCAAATTACTAAAATCAGAAACGAATGTGGGGGCATTACTACCAATTACACAGAAATAAAAAGGATTATAAGAGAATATTATGAACAACTGTATGTCAAGAAATTAGATCATCTAGATGAAATGGACAAACCTCTAGACACACATCAATTACCTAATAGAATCAAGAAGAAATGAAAAATCTCAACAGGCCTATAACAAGTAAAGAGATTGCATCAATAAACAAAAGCCTCCCAACAAAGAAAGGCCTTGGAACAGACGGGTTCACTGAGGAACTCTATCAAACATTTAAAGGAGAATTAACACCAATCCTTCTCAAACTCTCCCAAAAACTTAGAAAGAGAGAGAACACTTCATTATCATTCTCAGGCGAGTATTACCCTGAGATCAAAGCCAGATAAAGACACCATAAGAAAGGAAACTACAGACCAATATACCTGATGAATATAGATGTAAGAATCCTCAAAAAAATGTTAGCAAACTGAATCCAGCAGCATATTAAAAGAATTATATGCCATGAACAAGCAGAATTTATCCCAGGAATGCAAGGGTGGTTCAACATAAGAAAATCAATCAATGTAATACACCACAATAATAGAAAGCAGGAAAAAAAGACTCACATGATCATCTTAATTGATGCAGGAAAGGTATTTGACAAAATCCAACACTTTTTTGTGATTAAAAAAAAAAAATTCAGCAAGCTAGGA